ACGGGGCTGTTGGTTCAAGTGCCTGAACTGGTAGTGACAATGTCACCATGGACCAACGTAATATAATAGTAGTAATGATGCCTATATAAAATAAACAAGGTGAAAAAATAATACAATGCATGTGACGTTGGCATAGCAACGTCCTCAACTTTGTCCCTATTTTTAGGGCTTTATACGTCAGCGATGAAAAACCAACCCTACTTTTTTAGGGGGTTTGAATCATGCTCTTTCTAATGAGAATGATTTAACAGAGTGTCCAGAAGGTCTTTTTTTGGAAAAGCGGGCTGAAAATACCCTTTTTTTGGCATTACAAAAATGTCAACTTTACTCTCAATTTGTACACTATTGGAAAGCAGTAGGAGAATGAAATTTTATATTTGAAAACCTTGTGTTGCTAAGTTATTACGTGTAAAGTTTCACATTTATCATACCTTTCCTTCCAGAGATATAAAAAGCCAAACTTTACCCTTTTTTCGAGCTGCAATGTTTTCAGGCTAACTTTGCTCCACATTATCTAGATGGAGATTGCTCATGAGAATGTTTTTATTATTTTGTTTAATAGAGCACGAAGAAGTTGTACAAGATGGCCAAGTTTTGTTTTAACAAAATATTGCTGGAGATAATTATGTCTCAAAGGTGCTGAAACCTCAGAGTCATACTGTAGAAGGCTGCGGTATGGGGTCAAACAAACCACTATATCTCCGCAAGGATTGCATCGGCAAACGTAACACTTCACCAATGTTCATTGGGGAAATGTGTGCATGTTCTCATAAAATTTCATCGAAATCCGTGATGGCCGAGCAGGGACCACTAGACCACTTGACACGGAATGACCCTGTAGTCTGTGGATTGTTGAGGACTTTCAGTCCTTTAGGGATGATGGCTTGTTGTCTGCATTTGGTTAAAAAGATGTCTCTTTCTATCTGTCCCAGTCTCTTGAAGTGACACTCCATCCTGCTCAACCTGGAAGAGAGCCACGGTATAACGGTAGCCAGAAAATCAGAAGGAGTCTAGTAGCAGCTTTACAGACTAATAATTTTTTATTAAAAGGCAGAAGCTTTCCTGAACCATGGCTGACTTCAATGGAGCAAAGCTTCTCTGAGAAATGATTTGATTTGGGATGAGACAAGGGAGAGCGGAGAAAAGGCAAACACAGGTTTCAGGCAAAACAGATTGTAAGCACTTCGCTGAGAAATAAGATAAAGAAATGCTACAAAAACTGTAATAAGAACTATTGTTTGTGCAAAATAGCCTTTTTGCTTAGAAGAACACTTAACCATGCAAACATTCGCCTACGCGAAAGAGCCACATAAGCCTCCAGAGTCTGCCAGGGTGCCTACTAAGAGTGGTAACGAATGCCAAGATGGCAGCCACAATTGGAGCTGCACCTGTTGCAGAACACCAAGGGCCTTAGGAATTGCCTGGGCTAGGAGAGATCCCTAGCCAGGGGGATCGCTTCTCTTTATCCTTGATGAGCCACAGATCCTTTTAACAAATATTTCTCAGGCCCTGGTTTAAAAAGGGCTATAAAGTCACACAAGTGGGCGCACTTTCTGTCTTTCAGTTGTTCAATTTGCTCTTGCCAGAATCGGGTTAAGAAGCCACATTACAGATGCCATCACATTGTGCAAGCGTTGAAATAAGCGAGATCCTTGCTGCTCTTCTGAGCTTGCGTGTTTTCTTGCAAACGTTTCATTACCCAAACTAGTTAGCATCATCAGTGCAAGGAAGGAGGGCTGTTTGTTTCTATTCTGGTGTCTTGCCAGTCTGTGTGGGAGGGGGAAGACTTTGGGATTCTTTGGTTAGGCTGTTTACTGATGGCTCTTTGGCACTTTTTTGGTTGGGGTGTTGCTTACTTGACTGTTGGTCTAAAGTTGACCGTAGAGTTAATCTGTGCTGATCTGGGTGCTGATTCCTAGTGGGAGGTGCTGGAGTCCTTTTGTTCTCTTTTGGGCTGGTTGATTGTCTCTTTTGCCCAGTCTATAGAGGTTGTTAATGTCTCTGTGTCTATTGGCAGCTGATTTGTCAGAGTATCAGGCTTCTAGAAATTCCCTGGCATTTTTGGACTTGGCCTGGTCTAGGAGGGTCCCATTTTCCCAATTGAAACTAGGGTTAAATCTGTCCATGTGCTGTGAAATTAAAGAATTTTTGTCATGCCTTCTGACTGCCAGTTGGTGTTCGTGGATGTTTTTCTCCAGTTTTCCTGCCTGTTTGTGCCACATACAGTAGTGGTTGTTGCAGTTCTTACATTGTATGTTATAGACTGAAATAAGCCTTGAATAGCATCTAAATATGGAATATAGGCAGTTCCTGACTTATAACCATTTGTTTAGTGATTGTTCAAAGTTCGGTGGCATTGAAGAAAAATTATTTACAACAGGCCTCAGAGTTACAACCATTGTGGCCTCTCCCTGGCCACATCATCAAAAGTTGGGTGCTTGGCAACTGGCCTGCAGCTCTAAAGGTTGCAGCATCCGGGCTCATGTAATCGCCATTTGCGGCCTTCCCAGCCAGCCTCTGACAGGCAAAACCAACAGGGGAAGCTGGATTCACTTAACAACTGTGGCAAAAAGTCATGAAATTGGGTGCGACTCATTTACCTTGTTTAGCAAAGGAAATTCTGTTCCCTATTGTAAATTGAGGACTACCTGTAATGTTTGTTAATCATTTTAATTGCAACCCTCTTTAAGATGATAATGTACAAGTCATCCTTGGGTTACAACAGTCCATTTACTGACCGTTCAAAATTACAACAGCACCGAAAAAGTGACTTAAGACCATTTCCCCCACTTGCAGGACGGTTGCAGGATCCCCGTGGTCCTGTGATCAAAATTCCAGTGCTTGGCAATTGACTCATATTTATGATGGTTGCAGTGCCTCAGGGTCACACGTGATCCCCTTTTGCGACCTTCTGTCAAGCAAAGTCAATGGGGAAGCCAGATTCGCTTAACAACCATGTTACTAATAACAATTGCAGTAATTCACTTAACAACTGTGGCAAGAAAAGATGTACAATGGGGGAAAATTCACTTAACAACCATCTCACTTAGCAACAGAAATGTTGGGCTTAACCGTGGTCGTAGGTTGAGGACTACCTTTATAGGAAGCAGTAGGGAACAATTCCTGTATAGGTACTGCTTTTAACGGATATATGGATGGATAAGCAAGGGGGGAGTCAACATTTGCAGACCTCTGGCTCAAGAACACCTGCTGGTTAAAAAAAAGGTCAAGGTGGCAATTGTGATGATGCAATCAAAGGACACACAATGCGCATTTTAAAATAAAAGCAGGGGGAGTGTGCTGACCCAGGGAGGGATACAAAAGCAACAAAGTCACAGAAACAGGTGAAGTCCCTTTAATTCCTTCAACTTGGCTTCAAAGGCCCAATTATCATTGACTGGAGAAAAAACTCCCCCACAAACAGTTGCGAAAAGGAAGAACTTCCGTTCAAACTCAACATGCATATAAATTACAAATAGGGAAAAAAAACAACACAAACCACACCGAAGCAATTAAGGAGACCGGGCAGAATAAGGCCTTGAAGATGTCCACAGATATCGAAATACACACACACACACACCATTCACGTTTCTCCCTTATCCGCTCCACCCTGTATGCCCTAGGATGGAGAGGGGATGGGCCTGGGTCTTCCTCTGAATGCCCAGCCGGCTTGTGCCCTTCCCCGGTTTCCTGAACAACCTCTGGAGCCACATTCCCACTCCCTGTCGGCTCTTCCTCCCCTCCCTCGGAGTCAGATTCTACCAGGAGCATGAGAGGGAGCTTCGCCTGCACAGTGTAGCAGCCACAGTGTAACTTTTTTGGCCGGACTCTGCAGTGCCCCCTGCTGACCCACTCCAGGGCTGGGGTAGGGAGAGATTGGAGCTGGCCAGTTGTGGCATTGGTTGCATCAAAGGAGATAAGTTATGAGGCCAACTTGTTAATTCTGCTTATTTTTGGAGTTTATTATCTTTGATGATATTTGGTTTTATGCAACAGTGGCGAGACAGCCAGAGGTGTGTTTCTTAAGAAGGATGGCCGCAGAAATCTTCTAAGTAAATTATAAATATCAGACCTAAGAACACGGTAGGCATTTTTCTTTCCTGGCCCCTTTGGAATGGTGTGGAACGTGCTCAGAAGAGAGATTTTTGCAAGTCTGGCTTTGAACAAGTGGTCTCCATGGATACCTCTTCCACTTTTAGCAGTGGCCTCATTAGATGGAGGTGGGTGAAAGATTGCATCCTTTTGGTTTGTGTGTGCAGGTTCTTCAAAACCTAACAGCGGCACCATCTTGCCATTTGCTCCCAGGCTGGGGTGAACTGCAAGGAGAAGAAGGGCCAGCACAACGGGCAACGGTTCATACGAGTGGAATATAATATAATGTTACATTCACATAGCTATATGGGAATGTGTGTTAGTCATTACTTACTTGGGTTTAGGGATTCTATTTCTTTCATTTATTGAGTTATTGAGATGTATGTTGTGTTTCAGGGGCAGGGTTGCACCAAGGGAGGTTCGTTCAGTTTCATTGTACGCATGTTGTACATTGGCAATAAAGGTTTGATTGGATTGGATTGGATTTGAAGAAACCAGTTTTCTTCTGACATCCTTCCTTGCCTTCCAGCTCTCAATCTCTGCTTCCTTTCCCCTCTTTCTATAATTAGGAAAAACCTGGGAAACCGCAAGCTGGGGAGAAAAGTCTTGTTTTCCTCTCCTTGTTCTTCCCTGAAGTTTTTGCTTTGCTGTTTTGGAATCACTCTCAGGAAAGAAGGCATCACTGCTGGTGCCACTGTTGGATGTGATGCCGATGATGTACATCTCCCTTGGGCGGAGCCAGACTCCCAAGGACTCTTGGGGATGCCATGCAGTTTGCTCTGGAAATCTGAAAGGGATTTGACCGTCCTGCCTCCTGATGGCTTTTCCCACTTCGCTTTTTAGCCTGCAGGCCTTGGGCTTGATAATCATCTCCTATCCCTAATCTAACCTGCTCTGATCCTGCTTAGGTTTCTGAAATCTGCCAACAGCATCTGCGTGGGCTACACTTCAAGTGAAAGCTACAATCAACATAAAATAAAAAACAGTAGCATACTGACCCACATCACTTATTACCAGAGGATCTGGATAGGTGTTTTGTACCTGGGGTGAAGGGTCCTGGGTGCCCTCTGAGCTTGGTTGTTTTCTTGCAGATGTTTCATTACCCAAACTAGTATCATCATCAGCATTACCTACCTAGCTTGGATAATGAAACGTCCGGAAGAAAACAACCAAGCTCAGAGGGCACCCAGGACCTCACAGTCCTCCTCCTCCTCCACCTTTCTGCAAACTTTCCCCCTTCTAGCACTGATGATGAGTAATGAAACATCTGGAAAAAAACAACCAAGTTCAGAGATTCTCCTCCGTCTGTTAATCTTGGAGCACCAAACCCTCACTGTTTGACCAAAATGTTGTTAAATGATTCAGTGCATGTGCTCATAGAAAAGCTGGAGACCATATCGCTAGGAAATTCTCGTCATAATGTATGTGAAGCAACTTGGAGTAGATCTTCTGCTGTTCTTGCAACCATTCGTGGAAAATAATTTTCTGGTGTCTCAATGCAAAACAGGAACAGTTTCCAGGCACTGGCACTTATCCGTACTTTCACTAGTCTCAGTAGAAGAGAATATTTGTAGCTCAGAGTTGACTCCCCCCTCCCCCCCCCGGGGGGGTACCTGCTGCTCCCTGATTTTGGTTGTTTTGTTGCAGACGTTTCACAACCCAACTAGGTACCATTTCACCAGCCTGCCATCTATCCTGAAGTTTTGGAACTTGCTTATGATCGGGGCCACATGCTTAGTAGCTGCCATTGATTATATTTTGAGCTTTTGTGGAGGAGCAGAGAACAAGGAGTGAAGTTGCTGAGAAGAAAAATAGTGATTCAGAAGGCTCAGCGGCTTGAGAGCAGTTTAACTCCTCTGTCTTGACAGGAGATGTGGGAGGCTTTGGTTTCCAGAGGTTGTGATAGCAGAAATATGCATTGTGAAAATTGCAGAGCTGGCAGTAGATCCCTCCCTCCCTCCCTCTCCCTCCCTCAACAACCTTCCATTGTCAGTGGAGATGGTGCTTTAGGCTTACCTGGATGAAAGCTGGCTTGCAGGTGTGCATTTTGCCAAGGAGGCATCAGGAGGAGACCAGCGAGCCTAGGAAGGGGACCTCTCCGAGTGTTAGAAGATGTCTTCCTGCCGTCACTGGTTCTCTTCCCTTCTAGCAAGTGCCTCCTAGGCTATGTTGGTGAGGAGGGTGAAGAAACACGGTGCCACGAGCAATTTACCAGCCTAGCGTGATGTTACAGCAAAGATTTTCAAAGCGTCAGTCGCAAAACCCATGTATATGGATGTGTGCACGCGGGTGAGCCACCTAGAAGGAGGTGGTGGTGTCAACATTATTTTGCAAAGCTAAAGTGAGTTTTGACAGTGTTCTCATTTGCACATAAGCAACAAAAACTGGAGAGCAGTCAAAGCTTGTTCCTAGTTTATTTTTATTCAGTTATAGTAAACAGGTTTATATAGCCACCCAATCCATATATAGGTGACTCGGGGTGGCTTACATTTTAAAAAAACCCACCGTATAATAACACCCCCCACCTTAAAACCCCACTCCAGCCCCTAGTGTGGTCATCTAGTTACAGTAGCAAGCAAGAGTCTAGAATTGTGAGCTGCTGCTAAGGTTTGCACACACAAACCCCAAGCATCGCTAAAACTCACTCTTAGTTGGCCTGAGCTAATCTGTAGCAAAACCCAAAAATGACTTGGTGTCCCAGTTTGCACACATGAGTGTTGTAGCTTGCCAGTTTTGAGAGGTGGCTAAATGCCAGATAGGTCGAGCCATCTGCCAGAACCTTCTGCCAGACAGAGTAATTGCCTTGATCATTTAGTTACTTGGTTATTAGTTTATTCATCATTTAGTTTTGTTCCTATGGTTGGTTGCACAAAATAATTCATTGTTTTAGGGGTTATGGTATTGCAACTTTTTGAGGGCCCCCATGTTACAAGGTTATGTTATGACCGCCTGCAAACTAGATTCAAATCTCTATTAAACCATACTAGACTGATTTTTTTCGCTTACCATAAAAGCCTGTTGTGAAAATAAAAGGATTTACTGCATGCACTTTCTTAATGAAATACAATCAAAGGTATATATGGATGAGATGGGATGAGGGTAGACAGATTTGTTGGGCAAATATTAAAAGCCTTCTCACATTTTTTTGTTCTCTTGCAAATCTTGAATCTCAGGGAAGGGATGGGATATGGTAGGATGGAATGGAACGGAACAAATGGAACGGAACAGAATTCTTTATTTAGCCAAGTGTGATTGGACAAGGGATTTGTCTCCGGTGTATAAGGTCTCAGTGTACACACATACAACAACATCGTAATAGGTCCTAGACCATAAATCATAGTCACAATCATTAATAATACATAATATAATATATACCTGTTCAACCCTGACTGAAGCTGAAGCTCAGATCCTTTAGCCACCTAAGGAGAAGAGAGGACGCCTTGGAGAAGCCCCTGATGTTGGGAAAGATGGAAAGAAAAAGGAGAAGGGGACGGCCAAGTTGGAGATGGTTAGATAGTGTCATAGACGCATTAAATAGGAATTTGGGCAAATTCTGGGAAACGGTGGAGATCAGGGGGACCATTGGCGTCGCAAAGAGACAAACATGAGTTTGCATCTGAACAATGAAAAAATTAAATCCCCAGGAAGCTGATGCTCTAGGGCAGTGTTCCTCAGCCTCAGCAATATTCAGATGTGGGGATTCAGCTGCCAAAATTCCCCAGCCGGTTACCTTCTAACATCTGGATGGCACCAGTTTAACAATCCAGGATAGACTTGGCATTGGTAGGAGTTTCTGAATGGAGAATAACATGATGTTCTTTCTCAGAATCCGGATGTGACAAGTCAATATGTCACAAGTGTCCTTTGATAGTGAAATGGGCACCAAATAAATTCAACATACATACATACATACATACATACATACATACATACACATACATACATACATGATAGCCCCATTTAAAAACAATGCACCCCAAATTTATAAATATAAACCAGGTTCATGTCCAACAGAGTCCAGGGTTGACTCTGGAATGCAGGTGTCTAAACCCATGCTTCAGCTTTTTCTTTCTAAGTTCAGTTTTTTCCTAGTAGACCTTGACTTACAACCATAATTGGGACCAGAATTTCCGTCATTAAGCAAAGTAATAGTGAAGTGCTTGATTTTACGACCTTTTATGCCATGGATGTTAAGTGAACCATGCAGTTGTTAAATGAAGCCATATTCCCCCATTGACTGCTTGTTGGAAGCCAGCTTGGGAAGGTCATGTATGGTGACCACATGACTCTCAGGCACTGCAACCATTGAAAGCACATGCCGGTTGCCAAGCATCTGGATGTGCAACAATTGTTAAGTGCAACGACCAGCTATAAGTTCAAATGGTCGCTAAACCATTTCTGGTCATAAGTTGAGGATTACCTGTAATTAAAATAGGAGAAGACTCTGTGGTGACAACTGGCTGTTTCCCCCCCTCTTGTATGAATTCCCCCCTTTCTATCTCTCCTTCTCTCTCCATCTCTGTGCATTCATGCTCACACCATTTCAATGTTCTACTTCAAGACCTTAAATCTCAAGGCTCACTTCTCCTTTATACAGTAGGTGCCACCCGGTGTGAGAGATTTAGGGGGCTGGCAGAGGCCAAAGACACTGTTCTCTAGCCAAACACACAAAGAATTACACATCACACAAAGGATTTATTCAGAGGCATTTATCAAGGAGAACAGTAACATGGATCAGCAGTATCCAGCCTTGGCAACTTTAAGACTGTGAACTTCAGCTCCCAGAACCCCCCAGCCAGCAACTTTAAGACTTGTGCATTTTTCGCTCCCAGAATTCCCTAGTCAGCAAGGGAATGATGGGAGCTGAAGTTCACAAGTCTTAAAGTTGCCAAGGTTGGACACCCCTGAACATTTGATAAGATGCATTTGACACCAAATGCCCCCCCCCCCCCCCACAGATAAACTCATAAGAAGCAAACAGCCAGTGCTGCCACCTCTTCTTAAAACACTTTGACAGCTGATGTTTGCATTCATCCTGTGAAATCTATTTATAGATGCAGAGGTATTCCTGGAATATGAGCTTTCTTGCTTCAGCTGCCAAATAGGAGTGGAAACACAAATCAACTCAGATGTGTTAGTGCCGGCCTCATGATTCAGGGTGCCAGTCCTGAATCTCCAAAAAAAAAAAAAAAAAAAAAAGGCTGTAGGTATAGGGAGTCCTTGACTTATAACCATTCGTTAGTGACCATTCTTACAACAGCACTGAAAAAAGTGACTTATGACTGGTTTTCAACACAATTGTTGCATTAGATGAGATGAGTGACAAATACTGATCACAGTTAGAAAGGAGGAACGTGACTTAGATTCACTTAACTGTGGCAAAAAAGGCAATAAAATGGAGCAAAATTCACTTAAATTGAGGACTATCTGTACCTTAGTCTGCAGTAACAAGGATGCCATTATATGGGTCTTATTCTTTTGGGCTGCATGTAATATGCACATAAGCCCTTGCCAGTCTGTAAATACTTTCCTTGTCACAGTGACACGTATCTTATCAACACATCAGTCCCTGAAAAATTGTACGGCAGTCTGCTTGACAACCCTGGGGAATTACAGAGGCATCTGTTTTGCTCCTCATCTTTTCTTGTTTGTCAGAGTCCAGTTATGATCTTGATGGAAATGACCCAGGGCGATAATTGCTGTTCTCCGGAGAATGGCCAACTCCACTGTGAGGACAGCATTTTGACTGAATGCCTTGCCAGTGAGCTCCTTGTGCTTAAGGCACGCATAATCTTTCCTAGAAACATGAACAGCTGCTCTTATTCTCGCTGTGCCTGTTTATGTGGGTTCCTGTTTACCACAAGATTGTCAAAATCTTCCCCTGCTGATTGAGGTTGTGTGAAAGGATCAGGAGCAATTTCCAGGTGGCGGAGAGCTAGCAGCTTTTTCTGAGAATAGAAGACGGGTTGCGCTAGAAGAGAAGAGAGCAGAACAGAACAGAATAAAATAGAATTCTTTATTGGCCAAGTGTGGTTGGACCCACAAGGAAT